GAGCAGAAAGCACCCCCAAAGAACCTTTGGAACACTCTGTCTCTCCAAAAGAAACCTGCAGTAGAAGCTCACCATGTAAAATGTATAAAGCAGCAGCCTTGTTCTTGCTGTAGACCGCCGGAGCCTTCTCCTCCTCCCTTTACCTGTAACATGGCCCCCAAGATGAATTTACTCATAATTAACAAAATATAAAGTTGACAGTTCATGCAATGGGCAACCTTCTACTAATAAGACATTTTGAGAAGCAGAAGAAATATTTCGAAGAGAGAAAGACAAGAAAAGTTGGCAGTGGAGCTATGTGAACTAATCCTCTGCTTGGAACAACTTCAGTAGCTCTTCATTACACTTCAGATAAAATCTAGACTTAGTACCATGCCTGTGAGGCCCTGCAAGATCTGGTCGCTCCAGACCTTTAGGGCCTCCTGCTGTATAGACTGTAACTCTCGTCATCACTAGACTCCAGCTTATTCCCTGCCCCAGGGCCTTTGCACTGGAATGCCCTTACTTCATACCTATACACCTAGCTCCCTCACTTCACTCCATTCTCTGTTCATATGTCACCCCTGCAAAAGATTTTTTTCGTAACCACCTGAAGTAACCCCCTCCACTCTCCCTGTCACTCTCTAGCCTATTACCTATTATGTTTTATCACTACCATGTTTAATTCTTTTTATCTGTCTCTGTCAACTAGAATGCAAATTCTATGTGGGCAGAGATCTAGTCTAACTTGTTCAACATCATATCTGCAAAGTCTAAAACAGTGCCTGGTCTCAATAAATATTTGCGGGGTGAATGGATGGATGGATGTAATGGCAGCATTCTCATACTGGGAGGACTGTCACGTGGACAAATACATATATTTACTCATCCAAGAAACATTTATGGGGTAACACTTATTCATTTAATAAATAGTTATTAAGAAACTATTATAGGCCAGGCGCGGTGGCTCACGCCTGTAATCCTAGCTCTCTGGGAGGCCAAGGTGGGTGGATTGTTTGAGCTCAGGAGCTCAAAACCAGCCTGAGCAAGAACGAGACCCCGTCTCTACTAAAAATAGAAAGAAAATTAATTGGACAACTAAAAATATATATATATATATAAATATTAGCCAGACATGGTAGCACATGCCTGTAGTCCCTGCTACTCGGGAGGCTGAGGCAGAAGGATCGCTTGAGCCCGGGACTTTGAGGTTGCTGTGAGCTAGGCTGTTGCCACGGCACTCTAGCCCGGGCAACACAGTGAGACTCTGTCTCAAAAAAAAAAAAAAAAAAAGGAAACTATTATATGTGAGGCTCTGGGGATAAGAGGCAAAATAGAAACACTGTCCGTACCCTTAGGAGCTCATGGTGTCATGGCAGTCAGTGTGGAGAAATGTGGAAGGAATCAAGAGACAATGACAATCACCTGGACATAAAGAATAATTGGTCTCGGGAGGTGAAGAAGAGAGAAGATGTACCCCAGGTTCTAGGCTGGGGCAGATAAGGAGATGACTGTGCCATTCTTTGACCAAGAAACCCCAGGTGGTAAGGGGAGAAGATCATCTTTAGAAATGCTGAGCTGTGGAATATCCAAGTGGGGACATGCAGCAAGGAGTTGGATATCCAAGCCTGGAACTTGGGAGAAAAGTCTGGATGGAAATACAGATTTGACGAATCACAGGCAATGAGTGGTGCTTCAGGGCATGGGAGTGGGACGTACAAACCAGGTGGATAGCGTAAGAAGAAAACTAACATTTAAGAAATGGAATTTAAAACCTGCAAAAACACTGAAAAGGAGCAACCAAAATGGTGGAAACAAAAGAACACATTGTCATAGCAGCTGATAAGGGCAATATTCAATACTTTAGAGACAACATGTAAGATGAGGACTGAAAGGTATCAGTTGAACTTGGTGACAGAGCAGTCCTTGGTCATCTTTGCTAGAGCCATTGCCCTGGCATGGTATGGCCGGGTGTGTTTCTGTTTGCTGAGGAGGGAAGTGAAGACTAGGAAATGGAGAGAGATGTGGAAAACTCTTAGCAGGTACTTGACTCTAAAGGAAAGGAAAGAGATAGAAGGGTGGCAGAAGATGCTAGCTAGAGTGACGCTCTTAAGAGCAGAACAAGGATCTAGAGAAGAAACTATTGGGAGGCAGTCTTGGCTTAATACAAAACCAAACTTTCGGCCGGGCGCGGTGGCTCACGTCTGTAATCCTAGCACTCTGGGAGGCCAAGGCGGGTGGATCGCTCAAGGTCAGGAGTTCGAGACCAGCCTGAGCAAGAGCAAGACCCCGTCTCTACTAAAAAATAGAAAGAAATGATCTGGACAACTAAAAATATATATATATATATAAATATTAGCCAGACATGGTAGCACATGCCTGTAGTCCCAGCTACTCGGGAGGCTGAGGCAGAAGGATCGCTTGAGCCCGGGAGTTTGAGGTTGCTGTGAGCTAGGCTGTTGCCACAGCACTCTAGCCAGGGCAACAGCCCAAGCCTCTGTCTCAAACAAAAAAAAAAAAAAAAAACCAAACTTTCTAACCATTAGAGTTGTTCAAAAATGGATTGGGCTGCTTTCAGAAGAACTGAGCCCTTGATTGCTGGAGTTATGGGAGAATAGCCTTAATGTTCTATTAGAAAAGAATAAAGGTGTCAAATCGGTAATCTTCTGCCTTAAGAAACTAGAGAAAGACAAGCAAATTAAACCCAAAGCAAGCAGAAGGATGTAAATAATAACAAGCAGAAATCCGTAACATTGAAAACAGGAAAACAATAGAAAAATATGAATGAAACTAAAAGCTGATTCTTTGGGGGGAGGAGGGGAAAACAAAGCAATGAAATGGATAAACCTCTAGCCAGATCAACCAAGAAAAAAACCAGAAGACACAGATGACCAGGAGTGAAAGAGGGACATTACTACAGACCCCACAAACCTCACAAGGACATTAAATATGCACTACAGATGACTCTATGCCCACAAATTAAACTTAGATGAAAGGAGCTAGGTCCTTATGAGACACAAACCCCCAAAACTCACTCAAGAATAAAAACTGGTAAGCTGGATAGTCCTGTATCTATTAAAGAAATAACATTCCTACTTATTAAAAAACTTCCAATTAAAAAAAAATCTTCAGATGCAGATGGTTTTATTTGTGAATTCTATCAAACATTTTAAGGAAGAAATAGTACCAATTCTATACAATCTCCTGTAGAAAATGGAAAAGAAGGAAATTCTTTCCAACTTATCTTATGAGGCCAACATAACCCTAATACCAAAACCAAAGACATCCAAAAGGAAAACTACAAATCAATATCCTTCTTCATGAGTATGGAGTAAAAGTCCTCAACAAAATATTAGCAAATAATA